GGCTCATCTCCTACTGTTACATTTATGTTACATCCAGTCTCTGCCCTTCCTCTTACCAGCATCCTCTGCCCTGAAAATCCTGCCTACCTATTGGCTGCTCAGCTTTTTATTAAACCAATCTGAGAGACACATCATCACAGTGCACAAAAACATTATTCCACAAACCCAGCAGTGGTGGCGCACGCCTTTAATCCCAGCACTTGGGAGGCAGAGGCCCATGGATCTCTGAGTTCGAGACCAGCCTGGTCTACAAGAACTAGTTACAGAACAGGCTTCAAAGCTAGAGAAATCGTCTCAAAAAACAAAAACATAACAAAAAAAAAAAAAGAGGGAGGGAGGGAGGGGGGAGGGAGGGAAGGAAGGAAGGAAGGAAGGAAGGAAGGAAGGAAGGAAGGAAGGAAGGAAGGAAAAACCATTATTCCACAACAATCCTCTATAGGAACAAATGCTCTTAAGCACTGGGTCCTCCCTCCAGTCCCCATAATTTCTCCTTTTACAAACCTATGTTGATAACGGTTATTTAACTCTCTTCTTCTTAGGGTCCTGTACCCCAAGTCAGGCTTCCGCTGTTGCAAAAGTTCTTCTTCCTGAGACACTCATGCTATGCCACGTGCAGTTCAGTAATACTTTACTAGACATCCCAGCAAGTAAAGTCTTCCACATCCATTCTGAGTTCAGCATGGAGAGAGGTAGGGTCCAGCAGCTCAGTAGCTTCCTTTTGCCGGTTCTACAACTGTCACCCTCCTGTGGTGACAACTTATTTGTGTTTCCTCTACCTCTGGAGCCTTTCTCAACCGGTCCAACAAAGGGCTGTTCTCTGTTTGGGGTGTCCTGTATCCCTGGCTGGTCTCAACCAAGAACGACCTTGAAATGATGCCTCCACCTCAAGAGAGCTAGGACTGCAAGCTGTGCCCCCATAATTTACCCTTTTCTTTTTTGTTCCTGCTCTAGGAAAGGTTAGATTGTGTCTCACTGTTTTGTGTTTTGAGACAGGGTCTCACTATGTAGCCCTGGATGGCCTGGAACTCACTGTGTGTAGGATAGGCTGGCCTCGACCTCAGAGGTCCTGAGAGCTGGGATCAGAGGCATGGACCGTCATGCCCAGGCTTACTCTTCTATCTACAACAGCATCGCTGTTTGAGTATTCCAGACAAATGTCATAACAAGAAACAGTTATGACTATAGGAATATTTCCTAAGCGAGCTCTCTGACGACGCAAAAATTCCCAATCAAGCCAAATCAAAACAAGCTGAATTAAGAAATATCCAGGTTTAATGGGAGATCTGCGCTCTTGGGTGGCCCCAGGGGGAAACCCGGAAGCCGGGAGGAAGAAAGGGGGATCACTTAAGTACCCTGGGGAGTGGTCCTGACTCCACCCCCAGGGAGGGGTCAGGACTGGCCTGCTGGGATTTGAAGTCCAGACCAGGCCTGGGGGCTGAGATGGATGCCAGGGACTGGGGCCTAGGCTCCCAGCCTAACATTCCAGACTCTTTAGCTATAGCGGTGACAGAAAATTGGAATGGTATTTATGGCAAACAGGCTCTCTTGAGGGAAAAAAGGGCGTAGACTCAAATCTGGCTACTTTCTGCGGGTACGGGGCGGCGTGGGGAAGGGGAGAGCCAGGTGTCCACGTTTCGCGAGGTGTGGCTGGAAAGGCATCCCATGAACTGTCATCCCGGAGAAGGCAGGCAGCTGTTCCTTGGGGGAGATGAGAAGGTAGGTGGCATGTGAGGTCCTGAATTTGGTGGAGAGCTTGTTTTGTTGTTTGATGAGTCCCATTGTCCAGGAGATGTTGAGTTTCTGACACGAGCTCCATGACTGAGCCACCACATCTGCTGTTTCCCTGGAGACTGGAAACACTTCTATCCATCCTCAATGACATTCCTAATACTTGGAAGAACTGAGGCAGGAGGATCACAAAGTCAAGGCCTGCCTAGTCTACAAAATAAATTCAAGTTTATCTGGGAAGTCTAGTGTAACTGTTCAAACTAGAACATAAAAAGGCTGGGGACGCTCAGTGGGAGAGGTCACCTGGCATGAAGCAGGCCTAGTTCAAATATTGGGAACACAACTGTGGGGGGCGGGAAAGCAGGGGAGAGGGAAAAGTAGGGAAGGAAAAGCAGGCTAATGCTACACTATTTGAGCTTGGAATGGAGGCCTCACAGCTTGAATGGCATAGCTAATGGACAAGCACTGAAGGAAGGTTCCGTCACACTAAAGCTGTACACTGTAGAAAGTTGCAGAACAAAATGCAGATAGCACAGCACCGGACCAGCAACCAAGGGGAGCTAGGGAAGCAGTGTCCATGAGACTGCCTCCACTCTACCTCCTCGCCACTTCTTAGCTGCTTGGCCATTCACCGAGCGCTGACTTTCTGGGACCAGCACTGTTGAGTCCAGCTGGGCTCCCTCAGGACAGTTTTCCTTCTTGGTATTTTCCCCAAAATGGCAATAGTGTGCCCTTAAATTGAAGAGTTCACATGTTTTCTTCTACCTTCCCTCGGTTATCTTAGCAGAGCCTCTCAGCCTTCCTGCTCTCTTTTTTTTAGGGGTCTATGTCTGCCTAATCAAGGTTCGACAGAATTCCGATGAGCTGCGCCAAGCCCTAAGTGTGGCCGACACCTCGGTATATGGGTGGGCAACTCTGGTCAGTGAACGAAGCAAGAATGGAATGCAAAGAATCCTCATCCCTTTCATCCCTGGTTTTTACATGAACCAGTCAGAGTTGGTTATTAGCCACAAAGACATTGGCGAGCTCAGAGTCCTGGGAGTGGAAAGAGTTCTCGAGAGTCTAGAGGTAACAGCAGTATTGGGTCGGGGGTCTAGGTTGTGTTTTCCAGCATACTCTCGTTAGGCTGGCAGTGAAGTCCCTACATAGTCAAGATGGGCCTCCTGCCTTCCAAGTGCTGCAATTAAGACGTGTGCCGCTAACCTGGGTTTGTGCAGTCATGAGAACTCAACCATGGAACATCCCTAGTCCTCAGTTTTGCTTTTAAGACAGTATAACCCAGGCAACCTTGAAACCATGTACCACCTATCTTCCAAGCCTGGGGACCACTGGACATACACTACCATGCATGGCTGAAAGACAAGGGATTTGAAAAGACTTGTCATTCTCATTCCAAGGGTAAAAATGTTACTGTGTAATCTAATTAAAGTTACTATGGGGGCTGTAGAGATGGCTCAACAGTTAGGAATACCGGTTGTTCTCGCAGAAGACAGAGTTTGGCTGTTGGAACCCACATCAAAGGGCTCAGAATCCCTGAAACGCCAACCCTAGGGAACCTGATGCCTTCTTTAAAGTTACCACTGGAAAATAGCTTAAATACTTGGAGATACATTTTTATTTTTAACCATGTATGTCTCTCTGTGCATCACATGTTCTTAACTGAAACAACACTGATTTATCTTCTAAACAGGTGGCATTTTCTCTTTTCTCCAAGGTCTTTTCCAGCTCCCCATTTCTAGCAGTCTCTGGCCACAGGCACTCTACCCTCATGACAGGCCTGGTTATCTACCTAGTAAGAGCAGTCAACTTCACAGCCTTCCAGCTGTCCTCACCGGTTTTCATTAATGTTTCCTGCGCACTCACCAGTCAGCATGAGGCTGTGGTGGTCAGAGCCAAAGACCTATCTGGTTCAGGTGAGCACTGGGACTATTTTTAATCTACACAGGGAAAGAATGTATTAGGAACAGCGAACCCGCCCCCACAACACTTTTGGCCTACAGTTTTGCCAGCCCAGATTTTGTTATGTAGACCAGGTTGGCCTCCTGCCTCTAGCTCCCTAGTCTACACCCAGTCACCTTTTTACAGTAACAGGTATTGGACTATAGGAAGGCTGGATCCCCCTGAATTCTCATATCCCCACCTCCTGCGCTTGGGAAGGCAGCCTGGTCTAAAGAGAAACCCTATCAGGAGGTGGGGGGTGGGAAACCCGCATAAATCAAGTGTTAGGTCACAATACTGGGTACAGGCAAATGCTACAAGTAACATTATGTCCAAATCTTACTAGACCCTGATGCTACAAGTAACATTATGTCCAAATCTTACTTAGACCCCACCCAGAAACTATCTACATAAACAGCAAGGTATGATGATCAGATTACTGCAGTGGTTTGTTGTTCATGGCAGGGTACACACACTAAGTGTGGACTGAAGCAGTCACCCTCCAGTGCCACCCCAGGAACCATCAACCTGTTCTCACTTGGCTAGAAGGAAATACAGGCTAGGATGACTGGCCCATGTGTAACTGGAATAACAGGAAACCACATGGGCCTGTGTGTATATACAAAACTCAGCTCTTAGCTGGGCAGTGGTAGCACATGCCTAGAGGCAAAGAAATCCTGTTCCTTAGCTGGGCAGGTGTTGGCGCACGCCTTTAATCCCAGCACTTGGGAGGCAGAGGCAGGCGGATCTCTGTGAGTTCTGAGACCAGCCTGGTCTATAAGAGCTAGTTCCAGGACAGGCTCCAAAACCAGAGAAACCCTGTCTCGAAAAACAAAAACAAAACAAAAAAAAAAAGTCCTGTTCCTTGTGCTTGACCAAACACTACTTCAGTTATCTCCCAGTACCTTCAACAACCCAGGATAGATAACATGCTTGAGGAAAACTATGCTAAGAGTAGCACGGTGGCACATTACTCAGGGGGAAGAGGCAAGAAGCTGAGTTCAAGGTTAGGACAGCTAGGGCTGTTAGAGAAACCACCTTGAAAAACCAATGAAAAAGAAAACAAGCTTTGGCTAAGGGTGTATATTCATGTGGTACAAGCTAAGTCTGTGTGAAGCCCTGGGCTTAATGCCTAGCTTGTAACCCTCAGGCCTATAGTCCAGCACTAAAGGTGGGACAAAAGGATCCATCAAGACATTAAGGTCCTTCTTCACAATATGGTATCTAGGACTTTTTAGTGTGGAGGCAAACCCTACACGTTTTATTATGAACAGCTGAGACAAAGACAAATGGCATGCATACAAGTGAGAGAGAAGGGTCAGAAACTGAGTCAGCAGGCTGGCAAAATGGTAAAGTCCACTAATATCCATTGATGCACCAGCTTTGGGTTCTGAATTCCATTTGTAGGGCGGTATGGGATTTGAGATATTACTGTCTTCTAACTTCATCATCCCAAGTGGGCAGTGTCAGTACACTGGGACCCTGTTTTTCTATAGCCTTGAACTAGTCAAAAGAACCAGCTGTCTCTGCACTAGGACTAAAGGCACCATCTCCTCTGGATGTTATTAATGTATGATCTCATCCCATTATGGCAATGCAGATCACTGTGAAGATTCAGGTGTCTTCAAGAATGTTGCTGGTTCTTACCAGATCCTCCTATTTACCCTCTTTGCTGTGCTGGCATCAACTGCTTTCATCTTCCTAGGTAAGGAGTCTACATGGTAGACTTCTGACTCTTCACAAACCAATCTATGACATGTAATTAACACTGACTGACCTAGTCGACTAAAGGTCAACTTGCTGGGCATGATGGCCCATTTGATCCCAGCACTCGGGAAGAAGCAGGCAGCCTGGTCTATGAAGCAAGCTCCAGGACAGTCAGGGTTGTGTTACACAGAGAAACCATCTCAAAAAAATAAATCAGGGCTGGAGAGATGGCTCAGCGGTTAAGAGCATTGCCTGCTCTTCCAAAGGTCCTGAGTTCAATTCCCGGCAACCACATGGTGGCTCACAACGATCTGCAATGAGGTCTGGTGCCCTCTTCTGGCCTGCAGACATACACACAGACAGAATATTGCATGCATTAAAAAAAAAAAAAAAAAAGAACATTCTCCAATCTGCTGAGATGTCTGCAGGTTCCCAGACTCTGTGAGCTAGCACCCATGCTGGGGTGAGCTTTGGTGACACTTTCTGAGTCATTCCTGGTCCTGTAAGTAATCCTCCACCCACACTCCTGTAAATGACCTCAATAAAATGTATTGGTTAAAAAAAAAAATCAAAAGAGATAGCACTACTGCCTACCTGTGCACTTTTAGCCAAAAGTGCAAAGAAAATACCTCTAAGATGTGTATCGTCGGCATCTCCCCTTCAGTACTACAGAGAGGCAGTTCCAGGACCCATAGCAATTACTGAAACTTCCAGCATTCAAGAGCATTGCCACTATACATCTATACATTTACTCGTATACTTAAATCATCTTTACCTACAGCTACAAATGGCAAAGATGCACTGTACTAGTTAAGGAATTACAAGTATTAGTACACAGGGCAGTGTTTTCTGAAGGCAGACTAACTGGAAACATAACTTTTATACTAATACTTAAATTTCATTTTATTTATTTCTTACATATTTGCTTGGGTTAAAGAGGAAGGAAGCACAATCATGCCCTGACTCAAGTGTGTAAGTCAGAGGCAACTTGAGGGAGTCTGTTCTCTCCTTCCACTGTGTAGGTTCTGGGGACTTAAGACAACTTGTCAAGAGTCTGCTGGCTGAATCATCTTGCCGCCCTTTAAATCTCATTTTTGATTGGACTTTAATCTTCAAGGCCTTCCTGCAATCAAATCACATAAACCTTTTTGTGGTGTTTTCTTTTTCCAGCATACAATGCCTTCCTGAACAAGATACAGACTATTCCAGTTGTTTATGTACCAACTATAGGAACAGCTCAGCCAGGTAAAGAACCACCGCCCTCATCTTTCAGAACGTCAGCCATGTGCTTCACTTACTTGCCTTGTTATTTCTTTTCTTCCAGGTTCTTACACAACCACATGTTCTCCCCCTCACTTCCTGAGGCCACAGCCACCTCTGGTACAGAGTCGGCTACAACACTGGTTATGGAGTATAAAGCACTAACGTCAATATGGACACATCCCCTTTACTGCAGAATGGAGGGGATACCTAATTCTGCAGAAGCCTAGTAGCCAACTTTACACTAAAGCTCCAAAACAAGCTTTCTATGTGCTATAAATAAAGAATCTTAAGTAGTTTTAGTCAAAGTCATGTTTTGTAAAGTTTCTGGAGCCACAACAAGCCCTGGGTTTCTGTTCCTAGCACCACATAAATTGATATGGTGGTGCTAGGGGAGGGGGGGTCCCCTGCTACAGAAGACCTGAAACTAGGTTAAGACCCTGTCTAAAACAACACACCTACACCAGTAACCCCAGCTGTTCTGAATTTGCCTGCTTCTTCCAAGTAGTGTGTACCACCATTCCCTGAATGTTAAGACCCACCGTCACACACCTTTGTATGACACAATTCTTCCTGTCCTTGTTCCCCTATCCCACCCTACCTCACCCTCCCCCACCCCCAAAGCCCCAGACAGGGTTTCTGAGTGTGACAGTTCTAGCTGTCCTGGTTACTAGTTCTGGTAGAACAAGGCTGACCTTGAACTCACAGAGGTCACTTCCGCTTCTACTGGGATTAAAGGCGTGCACCACCCAACTAATGCTTCCTGCTAAGAACTAGTGTTTCCCTAAAACAGTAAATATCAAAAAAATTTACAAGAACACAAAGCCCAATTATAATTATACAGTATCACTAGCTTTAAACCACGGTCTAAGATTCTCCCAGTGAACCTAGCTACAAACGCCGAAATGAACTCTTGGGTATTTGGTCACTTACTTGACCCAAAAGGACCACTCTTCTGGTTGCCCTGGGATACGTGAGGCACAACTTCCTACCAGTTAAACAAGACAAACACTATATATCCAAAATGTGTTTATTGGGATGGTTCCCACTCATCTCGAATCCGGTGCTTTTCAGTGCTGCTTCCTCCTGAAGGAGCATCCTGCAAGAAACAGGTCCAACGTATTAATTACCCCATAGCCTGCACTGACCCTTCACCTGAGCATCTGCTCTCAGCCCCACTGGCTACTTCCCAGTGATGCAAGTCCCTTCACCACACTCATCGCCTGGAGACAACTGAAAAACTCTCAAAAAAAACCAGCCACCCGTAACTTTAAGCACTAGGGCTTTGAGAGCAATACAGTGAGTGACTAGCAATGCCTACTTTCTGAGCCTGTCACCGTAGGATCCAAAGGCCAAAAGCCCAACATGAAGCCCACTTACCTTCTGTCAGTCTTGCTTTCCCGCCTGTAGGCTGACAGAGGACAGTGGAGCAGCCGACACACAGGACTACCGTCTGTGCATGGCTAAAGACCGTGGTGATTTTATAGCATCCTGGAAATAGACAATTCAACAATCACGGTCATTGCTTTCACGGCTCGCCATGCTGCCATCCCCTTACTGTTCCGTAACACAAACTGCGCGGTCTCTATCGCTAATCTAAGCACGCATCCTAGGACGGATGCTCCAAGTCTTCCTTCTGAGTCCTAAGGAAATACCATGCTACACCCCAGGTCTAGCTCTTCCCCGAGTCTCCAAGTCGGCAGACACTCCTCACCTGGGCACTTCACATCCATAAAGTAGGAATTGGGGCTCTGCACCAGGCGCTTTTTCTTGTGTTTCCTCTTTTCCTCCTCTGGAGAGGGATGAAGGAGATCCTTTGCGAGCTATGAGGGACAGAAATGCAGAGCTAACGTGAAAAGAGATGGTGGAAAACGATCCCCAGTGCCACACACGGAGGAGAAACGCTCCCCTCGCCGCCCCTGGTGTCTGCGTAGCTGGGCCGCCATCTTATCTCCTCTCCGCTCCCGTCTCCGCGGGTGGCCGGCCGGCCGCCGCGGCTCCGGAATTGCCGTCCTACGACAACGCGGGGCGTGAGTGAGGACCCGCTACGGTCTGCAATTAGCACGAGAGGGGCGTACAGACACCAGCGCGAGCGCTCTGCCGAAACCCGGGCCAAGCAACTCACAGGCATGTTCTCGTAGGGAGGTCGTCACCGCCGGAAAGGAGCGAAAGCGGAAATCCTGTTCCTTATATCCGCTATGGAACAGGAAGTGACGAGGTGTGTTGTTCTGCCATCTTGGGAAGGTCCTGCTTGCCGTTCGAATGCTAGCGGTTGAGCCCTGGGCTGCCATTTTCAGAAGGTCTGTCAAGGCTCCTCGTGTCACGGGTGCATAACCATGGTGAGAGAGTTAGCTTCTATTTTGAGTTCATGGTTTTGCTGCTGTCAAAAGAAAAATGCAGAGGTTAAAATTTTCTTCCTGAGTTTTGACAGCTGGAGTGGAATGGGAACAGCAGAGGTGAACACCAGCCAGGAGCTTAATAAAGGACGTCATTAACTGGGATTCCGTACGATTTACCCTGATTAACGAATGTTTTCTTGGAGTTGGTGTACTACGTTAGACTGATTCCCTAGCATGCACAGAGCCCTGGATTGAATTCCCAGCGTTTTGTAGACTGGCCAGGACAGGGCAGGCGGTGCATAGTGGTGCTGTCAGGGACTCAGAGCTGTAGTCGCAGCGCTTCGAAGGCGGGAGAATAAAAAATTCAAAATCATCCTGGGCTCCATAGCAAATGTGAGGTCAAATGTGGACTACAGGAGCCCGGTCTGCGGGGAAAAAAAAATCCTGTTCATATTTGCTCCTCTACAGCTAACCATTGTTAACCATTGTTTAGTTACTGCTGTTATCCAGGGCGAAGGGTAGCACCCGATTTTGTATTTTTACAATTCTTTCACTTTGAAGAAGAATAAAATCAAGTATGTGTGTAGCTCTTGACGCGAGCATTATTTTTGAACATACTAATTAAAGGCCGCACGTGATTGGCCATGCCTTTTACCACTGCCCTTTGGCAGCAGAGAGGAGAGGACTGAGTTCCAGCCTGCCTGATCTAGGGAGTTTAGGACAGCGGGAACCACAAGGACTGATTGTGTCTCAGAAAACCAAATCAAAATGAAACAAGTCTGCTAATTGACCATGAGTAAACTGTTACTGTTACCACATTGTACAGATTTTTGTGTTGATTAGAGGAATTAAATTGTCAAGCCAGCCAGCGTGGTGGCACCTTTAATCCCAGCACTGGGGAGGCAGAGACAGGTGGACTGTGAATTCCAGTGTCTCAGAGACAGGCAGATCTCTGTGAGTTCCAGGCCAACCTAGCAATTTTTTTTTAATGTTTATTTATTATGTATACAATATTCTGTCTGTGTGTATGTCTACAGGCCAGAAGAGGGCACCAGACCTCATTACAGATGGTTGTGAGCCACCATGTGGTTGTCAGGAATCGAACTCAGGACCTTTGGAAGAGCAGGCAATGCTCTTAACCTCTGAGCCATCTCTCCAGCCTGCAATTTTTTTTTAACTACAGAGCTAGTTCTAGGATAGCCAGGGCTACACCAAAAAAAAAAAAAAAACTGTCTTAAAAATAAAAACAAAAGCTGGGCGCTGGTAGCTCACGTCTTTAATCCAAGCACTTGGGAGGCAGAGCCAGGTGGATCTCTGTGAGTTCGAGGCCAACCTGGTCTATAAGAGCTAGTTCCAGGACAGGCTCCAAAGCCACAGAGAAACCCTGTCTCGAAAAACCAATAAATAAATAAATAAAATAAAAACAAAAACAAATAAAGGATTTTCCAAGCTTAAATGAACATGTCACTCTTCATATGTGTACGTACGGATTGAGCAGAATAATTTTGGGTTGTAGCATATTTGCAATGTACATAATAAAGATATCTTTGGAAATAGGTTCTAGGTCTAAAAGTGAAATTTATTCCTTTGCTATACACCAAATACTGAAAATAATCCCCTACAATTATTGTAGTGTATCTGCAATCTGTGAATTGTCTTGTGAGCAGAAGTAGGATTTTTTTTTTTTTGAGACAGGGTTTTTCTGTGTAGCCCTGGCTGTCCTGAAACTCACTCTATAGACCAGGCTGGCCTTGAACTCACAGAGTTGAGTTCCGCGTGCCTCTACTGGGATTAAAAGACATTTACTGGGGCTGGAGAGATAGCTCAGCAGTTAAGAACACTGCCTATTCTGCCAGAGGACCAGGGTTCAGTTCCCAGCACCCACATGGCAGCTCACAACTGTATGCAATCCATCTCCAAGTGATTTCACACCCTCATACAGAAGTATCTCAGAGACTTGTAGGCAAAGCACAAACATTTCCCACCACTCCAAGGCTTTTTGGGTTTTGTTTTGGTTTTTGGTTTTTTTGAATCAGTGTTTCTCAGTGTAAACAGCCCTAGCTGTTCTGGAACTAGCTCTTGTAGACCAGGCTGGCCTCGAACTCACAGAGATCTGCCTACCTCTGCCTCCCAAGTGCTGAGATTAAAGGCATGCTCCATCACCACCTGGTTTCGAACTTGTCTTTTAAGCACTTAGAAACTGTTTCTACATCATAGCTCAAAAGACGTTTGTTTTCAAGTCACAGAAATCCACCTTCCTCTGCCTTCCGAGTACTGGGATTAAAGACCTGCTCCACCACCACTGGTGGAAAGCTTTTTTGTTTTTTAAGATGGTGTCTCTGCCAGGGGATAGTGGCACACATATGTATTTATTTATTTATTCACTTATTTATTTTGAGGCAGAGTTTCTCTGTGTATCTGGCTGCCCTGAAATTCATTCTGTAGACCAGGCTGGACTTAAAATCACAGAGATCCACCTGCCTCTGCCTCCCTGAGTGCTGGGTTTAAAGATGTGAGCCACCACCGCCCAGCTGTGCACACATTTAATCCCAGTACTAAGGAGAACAGCGTTTCTCCTCCCAAGCCGACATCCCACCTTGAAAGTGCTCAGGTGACAGGCATGCTGTGATAGCTAGTGTGTGTGCTGTGGAGAAGGTAAGGTGTTAAGAGCCTAAGCCACCAAGGCCAGCTGACCTGGGTCTGAAAAAGCCTGGGTTAAAACAGGTCTCACTGAACATAGCGGACAATGAGGACTACTGAGACATCAAGAACAATGGCAATGGGTTTTTGATCCTATTGCATGTATTGGCTTTGTGGGAGCCTAGGCTGTTTGGATGCTCACCTTACGAGACCTGGACGGAGGAGGGTTTTCCTTGGACTTCCCACGGGACGGAGAGCCCTGATTGCTCTATGGGCTGACGAGGGAGGGGGACTTGATTGGGGGAGGGGAAGGAAAAGGGGAGGCAGAGGTGGGGAAGAGACAGAAATATTTAATAAACAAACAAACAAATAAATAAATAAGAACCTAAGCCAGCCGGGTGGTACTGTGCTATAGCCTCAGCCCTTCAGTTTTGCATTCGCAGTATCTTTCTTCAGCCGAGAATTCTTCTCTGCTAGATGTTTGCACATTGTCTTCCAGCCTGAATGCCATTGCCTCCGAAATTACTCTGTTCCAGGAGAAATCAGCTGGAACCAGTTCTCACCAATTCCCGAGACTAGATTTTGGTA